AGAAAAATAGCCAGGTAAGAAATTTCTTATTCTGTAGCACAACTTTTGCCCTCATTACTCAGTAATTGAACAGTAAGTAATCAGTCACAGAAGGAAGGGGTCTGAAGAATAAGTAGGAATGTAATTCTTGTAAAATGACAAACAAAAGGAAAGTTTTTTCCCATATATAAACGTCTAGTTTCATTGTCCTAATAAAGGTAGCTGACTGTAAACTGTTCTTGGGTACTTTCAGAAGTGACTACTGCAGAATTTGCCATCTTTTCTACAGTAACTGCGAGGCTTATAACAATAATCTGGGTGACTAAATCATATGTACTACCCAACAGATAGTCTGAAAGATTTGATCTAAAAGTCTGACATATTTCTTCTTACGGCTTTGTGTACTTAACATTGTTTTGAAGTACTTGTAAAAGAAATTCAAATTAACTTTTCTTCATACTATGTGATTCAAGTAAATTTTGGTCTGGAGCAAACTACTTTTCTTTTGGAACATTCCACAGCTAAAACAGATTTTATGTCCTCTTCAAAAATCTAGGACACATTCATCGATACCTTCATAAATAATTGTAGTATCTAAGACCAAAGGTCCCAGTCATCATTAAACTGAAAAAGTCCTGTCTGGTATAAACACACAGCTTGTCTCCATTAGCTGCAAATTTAATATAACATTTTAGCCTTTTTACTCTGCCCTAGTGTAACTGAGAATTCTGCTGCACAGTTGATCCTGGCCATAAGGAAAGGGTTATAGACAGTAAAAGAAACTTGACTCAGCTGCAGTTGTTTCAAGCACTGTTTCAGTATACACTAAGCATCTGACTCAGTTCTGAGACTGCAGCGAGCTTCAAAATCCACAAAAACTATATACCACATATTTTAGATATAGTTTAGATAGCAGATTGCTTTCATGACTGTAACAGACTAGAGCAACTTGAGTCTATAGTCAGCTTCTCACTTTCACAGCCATTTAAAAAAGTTTTTGTGTTAAGACTATAATTTAAGAGCTTAAAATACACAAAATCTATTTTAGGAAGGTGTTTTAAATTAATCAATAGTGATTTCATTTAATGTTAAAAAAACTTAGATCAAAAGACAAAGTTAGTATTTGTTAACTTACCTACTCCCAGAATTCTGCAGTTCACATTTACTGCCTCCGATGCAGCCTCTATACACATCTTTAGAATTAATTCTAGTCTGTCTTCATAAGTTTTAGGATTGAGCTGGGTATATTTCTTAACTATTTCACCCTAGAAATGAAAAATAACAAAACGTGCCCCACAGAAATGTACTTCATGATGAAAATTAAACTACAGGTCAATTTGAAAATGGAGAGTCGTAACTTATCTCTTGTAAAAAAAAATACAGACGCATGCCTTAGATCTTGGTCCTATAGGCTGTTCTGTGCAAGATTCATGACAACTTTGGGGGACAAGTTTGCAAGATTAGGCATTACATTCTGCTTCTGTAGTCAACCTTCCCTAACTGAAATAAAATACGTATTTTAAGTAACACATGGATTGTGTAAGAAAATATAACAGGAGCTACTGAAACTGTTTTTAGGAGTAAACCGTGATACAGCAATGCATTTAAGCTCAATACTGAAGTGTTAAAAAAAAAAAAAAGAAACAGTAGCAGTTGCTAAAAAGGACAGAAAATCCATAGTGCTTTAATAAAATATTTCCAGTTTGACTACATAGAAGTTTTGTATGGTGTCACAGACACTGCTATTTTACCAGCACAAGGAGAGTCAGCCAAAGAGAAATGCTAGAAATTTCAATGTCAAATTTACTATCCTTTCAAAAAAAACTTTTCTTCTAAGCAATTCTACTTCTGAGTCACTTGAAATATTTCTGGAGTACCATCTACTGTGATGTATGTTTTACCAGGGAGGGACTGTCCAGGAAGAAGGGATTATTTTCAACCCCTGGAATGAGGCAGTAGTAATGATTATGCATGCCTGAATCTGTGGCTACTAAGGAACTATCTTAATATAATGTTAATATTGCAGGATTAGGCCAGGAAATTGCAGAAGATATGCTGCTTAGCCATGTTATTCTCCCTGTTACATCCCCTCTACTCTACAATATACCTAAGTGAACAGCATTGTATTAATATAACTGAGCAAAAAGGAGTAACAAAGACAGTCTATATGCAACATGGCTGAGTCACTGCTGCCAAAATATCTTAGAAAAGTCCATGATGTCAGTGGTTTGAGTATTAGATTTCATCATCTCAGCATCACACCAGCAATAGAGTTTGCGGCTTTTTATGTTCAGTTTCCTCTTCACTTTTGGTTTGGAACAGGAGAATCAGAGGAAGTTATTTTGAAAGGTGAGGCTGCAGCAAGCATTATCAGAAGATACAGCAGCTTTTAAAAGAAGCTTTTGAAAACTCCGTAATCTTCTTCATGAAAAAAGAACTACACCTTCAACTCTGCCATTTCCTTTTAAATGCTTACATATGTTCTATAAATTTTATTATGAAAGTCTGATCCTTTTCACTTTAGTTTTGTTAACACTTCAACTTTCATAAATGCCACCTCAAACTACACTCTGCAAAATGGACAGGATTTTTTTTAAATTCCTTTTTTTTTTTTTTTTTTTCCCCAGGCTGTTTTGGCAGAAACTGTGGTGTCTATTTTACTTCTAAAAAAATTATACCTTTAAATGTTGTCTTTAAGGCCATAAAGATTTGCCAGACATCTTCTTTTAAATGACTGCAAACATTCTGGACTGTATAAGGTCCATTTACATAGCTCTTCACCTTTCTGCAGGCAACTTTTCTTTCTGGGTACCTACGTCTAACTGATATAGTTATCTGGAAGTATACAGTGTAATAGTAGAGGAGTAATTGTCCGATACTGTTGAGAATAAAAGCCAAAGACTTCTCAACATGAGTTTTATTCACATCTTTGAAGTGCTGCAGAGTTCAGGATTTTTATGGGGTGTTTTTATCCCCAAACACGAAGATGGGTATCAAAGTGAGTTAGAATTCTTCAGTCCTAACTATCCTTTCATTTACCAACCTGCATAAGAATTATTTCAAATATTTTTACAGCATCACCAAGTAATTTTTATCCCATAAGCTTGAAGCTCACAAGTTTAAATAGAAATTCTGTGATTTTTCCACTGATCTGGATAGTCAGCTGATTGTCATAGGTGTATTTACTTGTTTCACTGTGAGATTCCTTTGCAGATGATTTGCACCAGATTGATACTGATGCCATTTTCGTAGCCTCACTTGCTGTTTTTTAAAACTTCAGTTTTCGTTATGTTTGCCAGGCATGAACTTTCATCTTTCTAAGTTAGCTGATTGGCAGAGCTATGCAAGCAATGCATACTTATTCGTGCTATGACACATGCAAAGGAAAGCTTCCAACTGTGCCATTACCAGAGAAATGGGCTGAGGAACTTCAAAGCATAGACACCATTAAATCACACAGTATCCCTAAACCTCAACATCTCTCCATACAGCCTTTACAAGGCTGTAACTTCAAGCCTGTTTCAAACGGACTACTTCTACAGACTCAAAACTCCCTCAGTCTTTGAAGTCTCTATGAATTCTACTGTATGTATCAAATGCTACTTATTCTGATGATAGTATAAACCATCAAGCACCTCTCTTCATACATCAAAGGACACAGTCAACACAGTGAAAAAAAACAAAACAAAAACCCTGATAGAAATTTTAGAAGATCATCATACAACTCAAATTCACCACCCTTTTCCAATGCAAGATCAAGAAACTATAATTCAGCTGTTTTTAACAGACCTCCTTAAACCAGTTCTTACTATTTCAGCAATGAAGACACCATACACTTCCAGTATATCTACTGCAGCCTTCTCTTGCATTGACAGCTAAGCTGGATAAAAAGAAAAACTTTAAAATAATTTTCTCTTCCACTGTTTTAATACTTTACTACTTGTTCATGCACAAGTGAAGCTGATTTTTCTCTTCATGGAAGAGGCTTCTGTATCTCTGCAAGCTTTTTTTTTTTCTTCCCCAGTCAGTTTCCTCCTCTCTAAACTAAACAATTCTATTTTCTTCAACTTTTCCCTGTTTTCCAAGTCTGTAATAATTATTGTTGGTCTTCCTCCTGATTTTCCCTCCAGCTGGTCTACATCTCTGTGGTGTGATGTATTACAGTCAACACTGTTCCAGCTGAGGCTCACTACTGTCTTACTCATTATGCTTCTATGCAGGAAGACACTTGGAACTTTTGATTACCAGCTGTTCCTCTCTTGGTAGAAGAGATATAAAATTCTGTATTCTGAACCCACCCACCATGAACCCACTGCTCTCCCTCAGTAAATTGTTTTGCTAGATGCTGGTTGCTGATCAGAATGGTTCTGTGTATCCATTACATGGCTTTATAAGGCAGTGGGTAAGACGACTGCTCTCAGAGCCCTTCCCTTTTTTGCTTGACATATAAAAAGCTGCAGGGTGAACTGAATCACCTTTTATGGAGAATCAAGACATATAAAAGTTGTCCTATTCTTTGAGGTCTGTGTGACTTCCCATAGAGAGCATGCATTAGTAAATGGGCTTTGCTAGCCAAACAGCTGTCTCAGAAGAGGAAACCAGCAGGCAAGTTGTATCAAGACTGTATGAGAGGTGCAAGAAATGAGGGGAAATCTACTTTACCTCTCAACAGCAAAAGCCAGTAGGGCTGCTTTGTTTTGGAGCTCTTTTGCATCACAAGCCCATATCCCCACTGTAGGAACAGAACCACAAGCCCAATGGAGTTTGCAGAATACCTAAAAGCACAACAGAGTATTTACCTTCATACTGACAATTGCTACTCGGAGATTTGTTCCACCTAGATCCACAGCCAGAGCACTCTGTGTCTCTAGAATATGGTCAATATCTTGAGAAATATTATCTTTAACAGGAGGAAAACAGAATTTCTTTTGCAATGGCTCTTTGAGGTCGATAGATTTAAGGAACTTCAAAATCCTTGGAACAGCATTACCATCTCCATATATTTTTGAGCTATAATATGTAAAAAAAAAAATTAATTGGAAATAACACTGCAATCTATAAGTTCTTTATCTGACAGAAGGCTGTAACACTATGTCACTACAAAATTACGATATGGCTACTATAACGATACTGCAGCTTACACTACTTGAGTCTGTCATGGAATATGGTAGATAGTGTCAGTAGTTTGAAAATCACACAACCGATTGGGAAAGTTTGACACTAGGTCCATTTTGGAATAGGAAACATGGAATGTAGAAAACTAGAAAGCTAATAAAGGAAAAATAAATAAATTTAAAAAATAAGTTTAATGAAGTACCCACATAATAAAGCTCTACCAAGATGGAAAGTTTATGTACATGTGACAAGTCTAGAGAAGATGTACTTACCACACAGATGACAGTAATAAACTGTACATTTATGACAATTTTCAACAGTTAAGTGTGGTTTTAAAATAGCATCATACATAGTGTCAAACATATGGTTTTACAGAATTCAGTTTTATTACTGTATTGAGGTTCTTAAGAAATATACTTTTGATTAATGTCCTTAATTAGACAAATACTATCTCTTCAGGTTTCTAAGAATCTACATGCTAAAGAGCTGAGGGTCAATACTCTATGGCTGAAGAATAACAAAAAGCATCTTGCTATGATCCTGCAGCTCCTCTGGAAGCTTGCACTCGGGACTCTACATGTCATGCCTGAGGTAAATCCAGTAGTGTGTCCTTCAGGCACAAGTCACAGGTAGGCAAACAGGATGTTCTCCCCCATTCTGCTTGTATGGAACAAGTTCTCTTAATTGTGCTAGTCTAAGATAACATGGAATATTGTCCTCTTGACTTCCTGTTGGATGTTAAGTTACTAGTTATATCAAAACATTACTAGTAACATTTTGCCCTACCAATGCTAATCTGTGTACCAGACATAGCGCTATGACTCTGAATGAAGTATGTGAAATGAAAAATAATTTGTAACCTCAGATTAGTGCATTAAAAGCACTCCAATCATATATGATGAACCACCTCGGGACTAAATGCCTTTTATTCTACTGTTTTAACATCCCCTCCAATGAATCAATATTAATGTACTTACCATGGATACTGTTTACCAAACTGCAGCTGTAGAGCATGCAGAATCTTATCCTGTGTATCAGCATCGCGAACATGAAGAACATTTTCACCTAGGTGACAAAAGTTAACTTAATAAAACAGGTCACCTCCTCAGATTACATTAGAGGTTAAGAACTGCTTTACAAATGAACAAATAATTATTTTTGTTTCCTCTAAACAGGAAAGACTCCAGCCAGATCAACATGACTCTTCATCAATTATGTGCCTCCCCTTGCTCCTGGTAATGCAATGGTATGATACTTTGTCATGCATTATAAAACACCAGAGAGTAGAATATTAGCCTTCAACAGAATTCTATTATTAAATTAAAAAGGCATGAATGAAAACAGGGAGTAAATGGCTATTTGTGTCATGTCTACATATCTACTAAATACCATAATACAGCTACTTCCTGAAGTGGTAAAAAGTTCTTATTTTTTAAAGTGAAATTTTAATACATGTCAAACACCAAACTAGCTATAAAGGAAACAATTAGTTGCCTATTCTGCTAAATGGAATCCACTTCAACGGGAGATGTATTTTAACTTGTCTGTAGATAAAAGCCTCATTATCTTACGTAAACACACAAGCAGCACTACCATGATACAGGAATAGCCAGTGAAGCTTTAAAATGGGTCAAAAATTATGTTGCACTGATACTGCAAGATGGCTTCCGTCAAGCATTCATTTGACTTTATCCTGTGGAAGGAAAAAACCCCAGAAACATGAGGAAATTAAAATAGTTAAGCAAACATGTACCTGTTTCTCTTCCTGTCTGACGTGTCCCCAAGTTGATGACAGGTGTACCAAATGCTCCCACCTCTCTGACACCACAGCTACTGTTGCCTATCATACAACCAGCATGAGCAACTAGCTGAATGAACTGGTCAAATGGGACATGCTTTACAGCCCGAAAATTAGGATGATGTTCAATGCCTTTCTTCCTCATTACCCGAACCATCTCTTTGCTTCCTACAGAAAAATGAGAGGTACAATCAATGAGTCAAGTTGTGTTGTTAAACTGAAAGTCCAAACATGCAAAGGAACTAACGGCTGTTCATTTAGTTGCCAGCTGTGAGTTGGTTTTGTTCTCTTTTTATCATCAGAGTGTAAGTTGCAGAGCTGGGCATCTAAGCCCAAATCTGTCTGCAAAATCCACTGCAAAAATATTTCTGTAGTTTTTAGTTAATTTAAGAGGCACTAATATTGCGTTACATGTCACGTGGTTTCTCTTCATCTTCCTCCCCACACAGAAAAGCTGAAATGTCCTCCAGCAATGTGAACATGGAGCTGCAGTAGATGCACACATGATGCTGAGACCACCCAGCATCAGATCACCCCTACACTGGAGATTCTGGGATAAAAGCACTCTGTAAGAACCAATGTATGCATTAAAGGCAACTGGTTTTGTGTCCCTCTGTCATGAAGGTATTTTACTCACCTGCATCAACATTAGGGAATAGAACAAGTGTTCTCTTGTTGAAGGAGATGAGTGCATCTAGTGTCAGCTCAAACATCTTTATGGAATGTTTAATATCTGTGGTTACAGGATGTTGCAGAGCAACTATATAATCTCTGATTTTGACATCTTCACCTGTCCAAATGGAGCCAAAGAGAAGTTTTTTTACTGGCATAGAATAGTAAGAGGGAGGACATACTTATGAAACTACTGATGTGAAAGCCTGAACAGTCAAGGCACTGAATGGTATATCTAACACATAAATTTCAATGCTACAATAAAACTCCAGGGAGTAACAGGAGGATCCAGCTTGTTATTTGCCTAAGTAAGTCTTATAACTTTAGAGACCACTACCAAAACCCCAACAAACTGTTAGCTTTCAGGCCTACCTCTAAAGCTTTGCAACATTATAGCAGGGTCATAAGCCTATTCTCACACCAGTATAAATCTGGAATAACATGAAACTCCTGAAGCTGCTTGGGTTTTCTGTCAGTTGTCCGTCTTCAGGCAAAGACTCATTCCCATTGCTTTAAAAAAGTCAGTCATACTTGTTTTAGTACATTTGATAAAAAAGTTTATCTGCAAAATATTCACCTACTGACGTAAGAAAATTCTAGTTTCCAACTACACAAGTTAGTGCCATATAGGAGATTGCTTTGTCAAAGATAAAAAGCAAACACAAAACCCCATTGTTTACAGGAATTATATATAAAACAGTGAATATGAAACACCAAAAGCCTTTGGTGCTAGCTGTCCTGTGTTCTTCAAAAGAATGTTCATAATAAAAATTCCCTTTGACTTTTTTTTTAGACTAACCCTGAACAGTTTTGATTCTATTCAAATACATCCTCTATACCAAGATAACTGTTTTAACATTGTTCAGCTCAGAGAACTTACCCATTTAAGGAGTTGTTTTTCTGATTTGGCAAAAGGACCAGATGTGATTACTAGGACAGATTTGTAGCTTTCCAGCTATACATGGTAGAACACAGACCAAAAGAAAATGTAGAAAGAAAAAAATAGTAGATACTCTTACCAAATATACTAGTTTTCTGAGAAGAAACAGGTTGATGCTTGATAATCATCTCCAATTAAGCAAACAAACTTAATAGCAAGAAGTATCTTTCTTTCTTTCCTATACTTTTCTCAGAGCCACTGGTCAACAGATCCCAGAGACTGCTAACTGCGTTACAGAGTTTGTCTAGTGCTGAAAGTCATATGAAAAATGTAAGTGGACTGCTCACCTAGCCACATGCGTATAATGCTCATGTAGTCCTTATTCTTGGCAGAGAGAAGCTTGTCATATGAGGGACAGCCCGCTAAAAGGATGCGGTCATGGTCTTCACACATGGCTATCAAATGCTGCTCTGCACTCCTTGTGCAGCACACATGGTAATGGGCCAGTTTGGTTATAGCATGTCTGATAGAGTCATCAATGGTCCCACTGACTTCCCCACCTTCAATGTGAAGAATGCGAATATTCATCAGGGCTGCAGATGTGGCCAGGGCCAAAGCATCAAATCTGTCCCCGTGAACTATCATTATATCAGGTTTCAGGCGGTTCAGGACATCTGGTAACTTGACTAATGCGAGCCCCACTGACTCCACCATAGCTGCCTCATCCTCCCCTCTTACAATGGTGTGCAATCTTGTATGAATATCGAAGTCATCTTGTTCAATCATACGATAGGTATTACTGAGGGTAAGAGGAAAAGGGTTAGAGTAAATACAACTTGGTTTTACAGCAACATAGCTTTACAAAATAACTGTGTATTAGAACAGTTGTACTGGGTTTGAACAAAGGCCTGCTTATCACATTTCCTTCATCGAGAGAACTAGTTTTTAAGATTTTAACAGAATGTTTTCATCTATATGAAGATCTTCCCTCATATTGCAAGCATCAAGTTTTTCTAGACACCCTTAACAAGCAGCTTTGCTGAACGTGTTCTGGAAATACCCAGAAATCAAACTCTTTGTTCATGTGTTTGCAGCACCTTTTGGAGAATAGATATGGCACGATTTCATTTTAGGAAAGGTATGTTGACTACTCACCAACTTATCTACTTTGCTGGAAAATGCATAAATACAACAGAAATTATGCAAAGCTGAGGCCTGTATTTTCAAGGAAAACATCCTGCGGCTAACATTCATTTTTCAGATTCTATACACTTAAACACTTAAGAAATCATTGCACAAAGGCCTTAAGTTCAAAGGAAACAGGCTTTTGCGCTAAAGAGAAGACGTTTTCCACCCATAATACCAGCTTCGTTCCATAATGAGAAAGTTAAAACATTAATCATCTGTATAAGATTACCTGTCTTATACATTCACTAAACCTGACCTAGGCAATTGCACACTCTGGCTGGAATAAAGAGAAAGAAGACCCAGAAGTTTTCCAATTTTGCCTTCAACCCACCTGACACATTCACTGTCTTATTCAAAGGATTACACTTTTAAACTGATTTAGAACTGATTTCATATTCATTAAATCCACTCTGCAATAAATCACTACTGTAAAGTGCTCCAGCTCAAGTAAAGAAGCAATCTTTATGCTGTGTAACTAAAGAGAACCCTATCTATTTATTCAATTCTGCTCACTTCTGTAACACACAGGATACATTTGTACACGTAACTTGTCAGGAAATTTGTTTTTTTAAAAAGGCAAATCTTTCTTATGTGACTGAGTGAAGCAGCTCAGATTTTTATAACATAAACTGCATTACATTTCCAACTCCATTTACAATTACCTTTCATAGACCTGCCTTTTTCCTTACTATGCACATTTATCTGAAAAAACCTTTTTTCTCTTCTATATTCTTTCATTTCTGAAAGGTCAAAATCCAGGGAATAAATAAGACTGCATTTTTGTTGTTTTGTTTCTTTTACTAGTCTCCAAACATTTCAGTAAGAAATATTACACAGAATTACTATCATTTGAATTCTGCTACGGTTGATTACCCTACTCAGATGACTAGAACACATACTTTTTGAGGACCCATTAATTCTCTAGGATCCCCCTGATTAAGGAGTGCAGAGGTAGGTCCTGAAAAAACCTCCAAGCAGTACCAGGTTTTAAGAATACTTACCACAAAGCAGCTAACAGCAACATTTGTCAGATCAAAGCCTTTACTGCTTCATGCTTTACAAATAATTTACATCAGAGAGGTGGGTGTGAAACACCTTGGAATTGGAAAAGTAGTATTTCATATTACTTTGCACAAGTCTTGCAGAGAGCAAGGGGTTCAGGACTATAGAAGAATCAGGGCTGTGTTTCTCCTCTTCAGCAAATAAAATGCGATTACCTTATTTCTCCAATTAAACAGGAAGTATTCCAACATACAAACCTGGCAATAAGTTTGATTGGGGTTTTTCTGTTTGCTTTTTTAAATCAGGTTAGTTTTGTGTTGAGTTCACCTTGCCCTGCTATTAGATGGAAATAACATCCAGTATAAAGCAAGGAACCAGCACTATACTGACAATAGAAAGCAGTGGAACTTCCTGCCTTAATAGTTTGAATTAATATAATTTGCTCACCCCCCAACTTATAAAGTGACAAAATTTCTCACTGTAAAGTCCAGAGTGTCTTTACTTGAAGATATGCATATTTCTAAAAGTTCAACAATGCTTATATGCTGCAAGCCTTATGCTAAAGTCTGATTTTGACTTGCAAAGTGTTTTCCTATCTATTTCATTTACTGTGCCCAATCTGGTAAATGCAGCCTGAGCAAAACCAACCAACCAACCACCACAACCCCAGCAAGAATATGCAAGCAGTTCCTTCTGCCTTTTTCCCAACAAACAGCAGAATATTCACCTGGAATGTGGAAAGTCCTTTCAAAGGAAGGGATTTGGATGAAGACATTCCATCCTCTCAGGCAGGTGATCTGACTGCTTACTTATGGGGTGTTATGGAGAGGACCTTAATCTCTCCTGCCAAACCATACCTAATATACCTCTCAGTTATTAACTTTGTCAGAGACTACCTTCCTCCAAAATCCTGGAGGTATGAACTAACAGTATTCCCCTGGGATACGGAATATATAAGTACTTTCTCCAATAACTAGGCAAAGCAGAAGAGCTGCAACATCAAATGACTGAAGATTATCTTTTCTCTGTGAAAATTAAAAAGCTGTAACACATTTTCATTCAACAATCACCAGATTCTTAAGGCAATCTGAACTGTGTTTCTCACTCCATGTACTGATTCTGTTGAAGATCTCAATTACAGCTTTTACACAAAACTTTCTAAAATTCCAAGATTCGCTGAAAAAAACCCTGACATATGCAATCTCAGAGCTGAATATGAAATAAAATATGAAAAAATAAATTTAAAATTTTGTTGTGTATATTCATGATGACAAGGATTTTGTTACCTAACATTCATGATGTTATCACTAACACCCCAGAAACAGATTGGCAGAGAGACAAAAATTCACCTCACCCATAATCATCAATAAGGTGGGAACCAAGCACTACGACATCAAGCTCAAAGAACTGTGGTTCTGCCTTTATACCAAACATAATAGGAGCTAATTTCGAATAATCAGCACGGTTGCAAGTAGCAACACAAACACGAAGTTTGTGGTTGTTTCCATTCTTCTCCATGATTTCCTTTTGTTTCTGTTTTGAAATATTCTTGAAATATACTTCCTGAAATAATAGGGGGAAAGAAAAAAAAAACCAGCATTAATAATAATCTTTATAGCAAATAAATAGTCTACTTTATTAAAGGCATACAGAAGTGCAGCCCAGAATTATGCACACATACTAACTCATCCATTGGTAACAGACAACTGGTACCTTATAGTATCTATCATTAGAGGATTTTAGAAAAGGACAGATTTATTTTTAAAAATTTATTTATTTGAGTTAAAACTCAGGTAATTTTAATACCTCTATTTCTATAAATAATATATATA